TAGTGAAGAAGCACATGTCGGAAAAACAGCTTATCGTGATTCATTTTTAATCGATTGGAAAATCTCTTTGGCGTCGAGAAATCTAATCTGTGAGGATTGAATCACTTTCAGCGATGTCTAAACTACAAAAGATATATGACTTCATCGTCGAAACTCGCCAGCGTTGGAGCCAGCACCTTCTCGTAGCGAGCGGCAGGAATTAATTTAGAAAGTTTTTTCTATTCCTTATAGTTTCGACGATATTCGCTTCAAAAGAAAAAAACTGATTTTTTTCAAAAAGGTGTTTCATCCTCTAGAACTGAAATTCCGCACAAACAAAAAGTAGTTTTGTGTTACAGATGAACTACTCTACTTACACACCAAGTTTCAGAATTTTTTAAATTTTTGAGTTGCCTAACCTCCCTTGTAAATCATAAAAAATTAAGTCTCTCTCTGTAAACTAAATAAACTTTCGTTTCATCCAATATTGATACGAGCGAGTTTCTCAAATCTTCAGTCTACTCAAGAAACAACAAGTTGGCGCTACAGCAAATTCGAATCTATTTCAGTAGCATTTTGAGATGTCGATGGAGCAATTTTTACCTCCCTGACTCATGCCAAACAATAGTTGGCCCAGGAAATTATTTCTAAGGAATTTAACACCTAATAACATCAAGTTGCATTTTTATTGAGTTTCCGTTAACAATAATATTTGCAAACTTGCGACATTTATGTCCAGAATTAACGAGCGCTTGTAACGATAATCTGCGTTTTAAAACGGCAAATTTTAGCTATATGATCGAATATGCTACAAATTCGACATTCGACTATTTTAAACGGGCAATTTATCCGTTTATGAGTAATTGCACCACAACCTCGACGAGAAGTACTGCTGGATCCAACTCCTTATTTTCTGAAGGGTATTGTCATCTTCATTGAGTCACTGAGAATTTTTACCTTTCTCTTTAGAATCAAATTGTTTGACAGCGTTTACTTTTCATTGCGCTCGGCGAAATATGAATTCTCCACACGAATGACATCTGCAGTGCGTTTCGTATGTGCGCAACAGATTTCTCGAATATATTCGAACGTGCAGGATTTCTTTTCCGAAATCAGTTTGAAAAGAACAGTTCTTCCAATATAATAGACAGGATCACTGGTTGTAAGCGTCGTCAGAAGGATCTTAAGCTGATCAATTTTAAAGTTGCCAAATTCAAAATTGTATCCTGAAATATTAATCCCATTAAGGATTTCGACAATAGACATTGGAAGCGAGGCTCGAAAATTCAAAACTTCAAAACGTCGCTGAAATAATGTTTTGTTGTCATGAAATTGCTTTCGCGACAAGATCATTGAAAGGTAACTCAAGCGGGTTTTTTTAGGCGAGAGACGTGCGAACAAACATTGATACTCGTCATCGCCGAGCGCAATGAAAAATAATTCCTTACGCTCTTTGTCGGACAAACTATATAGTTTCGACGATATTCGCTTCGAAAGAAAAAAACCGATTTTTTTCAAAGAGGTGTTTCACCCTCTAGAACTGAAATTCTGCACAAACAAAAAATAGTTTTGTGTTACAGATGAATTACTCTACTTGCACACCAAGTTTCAGAATTTTTTGAATTTTTGAGTTGCCTAACCTCCTTTGTTAAATAAATACTATATACAAATAATCCCACAATTTGAGCAATATTGACCGTATAGTTTTCTTATAATATTGTTCTGAAATTGACATTTTAAGTATATCGTCTGCGAGACGATCGTTCCAAAGTAAACAATCACCGATTTAATAAATACTCTGCCAACTTAAGACTTTGAAAAACTGTAGGACCCAGTGAAAATGACTCACGAGTCAGTCAAAGTGATGTCAATATGACATTAAAACCATCGTTTGTCGGCATGGCGCCAAAGAAATAGTTCAATATTGACGAAAAATTGACACCATGTAGAATGATGTCTTAAGTGAGGAAATATCGTAGAAGTAGGTGAAAATCATTGTTTATAGATGATAATTCTAGTATTATGCGAGAAATTCAATCAATATCATCTTAACGGCATTTTGACGTTTAGGACGTCATTTGGACGTCACTATAATAATAAATAACAGCTTAATGTTTTGCTGGATAATTGTTAATATGATATCAAACAAATATCAAAATGGCAGTCAAGATTACCGTCATGATATGGAACGTTTTGCAGTCATATAGTCGTCATTTTGCCATCATTTTGATTCTTTTTGACGTCATATTCCTAATCAATTTGACGTCACATTGACATCACTTTGACTAAGTAGTTTTCACTGGGGATTTGGTAGATGAAATATCAACAACTATGTACAAAAAAGCAAAATCGGACTTTATCGTATGGATTTAAAGTTTTACTATCACAAAGTTTACCTTTTCCCCACGGATCGCATTAATAAATTCCCTGATAGCACAGAAAGTTTCAGTTGTGTTGCAGGGACTTTTCAATGTCTCAATTGTGTATCATCACATTTATAATATTTCTGAGACCATCTTCTTTGAAATATTACAATTGCAATGTTTCTGCAATTACTTTAATTGAAACCTTACGTTTAAAATGTTCCTGTAATATATAGTTCTTCCAACGTTGCAAATACAAAGTTTCTGAGAGATTTCTGTGTGCTGCGCGCGAAAATGGCTATCCGGATGATGTGCCGCACCATCTTGTGATCACATATACGTGTATAAGCCATCTTTGAAGTACTTTGATCGATGAATTTACGTAACTTCGTCGTCGTACAATGCCCATAGGTCATACGTGTGCCCATAGGTCTGTTTTCTGTGGCTGAATCAGTGTACACTTTTGGAACTTGAAGTGAAATAGGTATATGTTTGATATTTGTCAAAAGCGAGAAAGAGAGTTTTAGTACAGTCTAGTGCAGGAACAGAAAACAGACCACATGTCTGCCGACTCTGACTGTGCATTCGTATTGTAAGTTTCTTAAACTGTGTATACACCTAGCGAACGAACACCGAACGAACAGCAAACGTAAAAATTTGTACTGTTGTTTGTTATATAAAAGTTGCACAAGTTTAATTGCTACATGGAACGAACATCGAATCTGGTCGAATACAAGTATTCCATACAATCGAGAAAAAGAATAAACTGCTCACAAATATAAACACTGTTTTTTTTACATTTCTGCAAGGTTGCAGATGAAACTAAAGAGCACTTTGCATCAATATCACTGAAAGATTGTATAAACATTTCCGTAAGATTTCAGAAACGTTTCTTGCGGACCGAAGCGGACATTTTGACGTTGCCGCAATCTTGCAGAGACTTCTCAAAAATATTACGCAACGTTACTGCGATGGTATCAATGTTTCAATGTTACGTTCGTGCAACGTTACAGAAATCCTTCTGTGTTATCAAGGTTGGCAACGCCTCAGTGCACAGCTGATACGAAGCCAACTTCATATAACCTAGAATTTATCTCTGATGTGACCATTGAACTATATATACACTGGAATGGACATCTCCGCTGTGAAGCATAGAAAATCGTGACAGCAATTGATCAGCCGTCATTTTGGTTGGATCAAATATTTGAGCGAATCAGAAGCTTTCAGGTGCTCATGCGCACTTAGGTTTAGTGTTCTTCAATAAGACGCATATGGCATATGAGACGGTGATCATCTACCGACGTGATCGGACATATTATTATGTCATCATTTTTGAAAAGTATGACCGGCTTGAAACGCGCAATTGAGTTTATGTTACTCTTTTAGACTTTCGTATTCTGCATATTCTCACGCGAAGAAAAAGTAAGACGCATATGTCAGCAAGATTTTCGTGTGTGAAGTTATATTTGAAGGATTATAAAATCGCGTGACTGTCTACAAAGCATCAACATGAAGTGCAGTATGCCTGGCAGAGAAGTAAAAAGGGCCTTTCATTTCATAGGTAAAAATTTTTGTTTTAAATATATCAATTCCTGTATATGTGTTAACGATGTAGGATATAAAGTGTTATTAAAGTTATTTTATTAAATGTATTAATAAAACTGAAGTGATATTATTTTTATTTATATACCATTCATGTCCATATAGATTTCCATACATCGATAGTACATCGATTGATACATCGATCGCAACGCGCGCGCGAACGCTTCTGATTCACTCAAATATTTGACCTACCCAAAATGACGGCTGCTCAATTGCGGCCACGAATTTTCCTCGATGCCCATTCTAGTATATATAGTTCAATAGATGTGACCATGGTGGAAGGAATAACATGGCGTGTGCAGTTTGGCCAAACCACATTTACTTTTGCTCCGCGTCATCTCAGTGATTGACTACTAACTGTAAAACGCGAAACATGGGGCGGTATTTCACAGTTCTAGGCTTTGCGGAACGAGAATCAGAGAAACGACAGAGAGCACTAATTTTAGAGAGAGAAGCTTGCAAACTGAGTATATCATGTAATCTTTCCACCATGGAAGTGATTGCCCGTTGCGAAGTCCAATGTCGCCAAATATACACTCGACCTTTCGAGTCATTGAAAATCTCATACATTGGTTAGTATTCTATATACACTAATAACTTACTAAGAGTATAGCACATAAATAGTATAATTAATTACACTGATATTGCATATGATACGGAATCGCTGTAATGACAACTTATTTCAGTTGCATTTTTTACTCCAAAGTTATAAGCGAACCTTCTTAATCGATCAATACGAGATGCGGTTAAGCGCGTGTCATAACAATTATAAGTTTGATTGTTTTGTACGATGCGTATTTATAATCCGTTATTAGTAAATCCCTATTTGTAATTCCGCAACTCCTCTAAAATATCTCTTCGGGATATTTTATAGAAATAATTTCTATAATACTTACTCGGACTCCGATTAAACTTATATTTCCAAGAATTAATAGTAATAAAAGCAATGAAAGTCCTTGAAATGATGATTCCAATGTATTAACAAATCTAGATTAAAAATTTATAAGTTACGTTAATCCATCGAGGCACAGAAGGGAACCTTTCGAAGTGATAAATTCTGATTTTAATGAAACTTTGTGAACTTGTAGCTTACATAAAGAGATGAATTTAGAAAATATTAGTTGCGGCTAAAAACGGTTTGAAGGGGTGAAATCACCCCTTACGTGTACAGCGGTTTTCAGCTATTTCTGTTAAATCTCGAAAAATATTAGAGATATAAAAAATACTTTATACAAAAATTTTACAACAAAATCAGCTGTATTCATCAACGTTTTTAGAATAATTATTTACCAATTTTTTGTCAAAATTTTCGAAAAAAAATTATTAAATAATTATTCTTAAAAAATATCATTGACGTGAGTAAATAGAAGTAATTTTATTGTAAAACTTTTGTATAAAACATATATTTATATCTCGAATAGATTTCGAGATATAGCGGAGAAAGCTGAAAATCGCTTCACACATGAGGCCTGATTTCATCCTTCAAACTCTATGTTGGCAGCAATTATCAGAACTTTTTAAAAAATTATTATTTTTAAAAATATTTGTGATAGATACAGATAATTTTATTATAAAGATACTTGTAAGTAAATGTCTATCCCAGGAAAATGATAAAATGTTATTATTTCCACATCACCTATCATAAGCTAGATAGTATGATGCGCTTTTTTTATAATGGTTTCCCCAGTAGGCTTATTCGACTCTAATTTTTTTATGCACGAATTATTCCAAATGCCATCATTCCTCCGTTGACTACTTTGGAACATTTAAAAATTTATACATTTTTTTTTTAAAGATTTATTATCATTATAAAAAAATATATTATTATTATTACATAAAAATATATTCGCGCGAGTAATATTTAAAAAATGCTTATTAAAATATTGTAAAATTACAACATCCTTCTCCACATTTTTCTCAATACGTCATTAATTTAATGATGCAGTTAAATCATTTAACTCAAGAAGATGTTTTAATTTGACTCTATAATTTATTTACTTGCATACGTTAATGTGAACGTTACTTATGTTCAAATAAGTACAAAAATAGACTGATTAACGTTTTGATACACATGGAAGTAATAAGATAATAAAATGTTAACTCAAGAAACTCGGGGTTGCCATTCTTCCTTTGACATCTAACAGTGATGAGTTACGGTACCATATATTTCCTGTAATATATAAGCACATTTTTTGTTATAAAGACCAAAATGAATGTATTTATTATAAATTTTGAAACTACTTGTTAATCTCGTTATTAATACTAACATGATTATTATATGACAAAATGTTCGCAATTATGATATTCTTAAAAAAAATGTTGCATACAAAAATATTGTTTGCACCAGGAACATCGTATTACAACAGGTTCACCACATATGGAGCAGCGAGGTATTTCTTGAATATTCTTTCCGTTGAAACAAAAATCTCCTAGAGATTCGAATTGTGGCGGCCGTTCTTCAATGTATTCACTCTTATACCAAGCATATTTAAAAAGCATATTAAAAAAATTATGAAATAATCGCGGAGAAGATTTTCCATAGTCTAAATCCATAAACGTCAACAGGTTGAATCATTCCCGTTGTTTTCTTTGGTATAGTTAAAATTCGTACATCTTTATCTTTTTTTGGCATAAATTCTTGCAGACTTGCAGAACAATGTCCGCTCTAAGATTCTAATAACAGCACACTAAAACTTCCAGTTGCGGGTACAAACATATTTGTAAACCATGACTGAAATTGTTGTGTAGTTAATTTGCTCGATTTTGATGCTGCAATGTAAACATTTGCAGGTTTAAACAAACTTTCCTCTACGCGTGGTCTGAAATTTCCACTAGCTTCTTTCAGTACCAAATAGAGAGGCGATTTCAATTGTCCGCTTGCAGAAATTATGGGCATAATTGTGTAACTATGCGTAGTTGCTGATAGTGATTGAACTATACTTTCAACTGTTTTAACACCTTGCGTGGTCAGTAGTCTGTCTGAATGTAATTCTAAATTGAATCCACTTTCGTCTGCATTATATATATTCTCTAGTTCAAAAAGATTTATATTAGATTTTACGGTAGTTATGAATTCCTGACATGCAATTTGTAATTGCTCTTTATCTCTTTGCGCAGAACGACTTACAAATTTTGTTACTTTTCTTTACACGATTCTATATTTTCTTTAAAATTTAATATCCATGTTGCACTAGCTTTAAATGAAGAAAAATCGATTTGTGCCTTGGCTTCTAAGGACCATCGTCGTAAGTCCATATCACGAATGATTTTTTTTCGTCATCAGCTTCTTTAAAATTTTGTAAGGCATATTCGGAAATATATAACATCTTTTCTCTATGGGTACCTCCTTTTTGTATGTAATTTTTCCATCGATATAGTTGCGACAAAGACTTCACTTTTTTAAAACGGTTTTTTACCGATGATAAGGAATACCGTCCCTTTTTTGCACTTTTCCAAAATTCAACAGCGCTTCTCTTATAGCCATCATTAACAATTTCGCGTTCTTCTGAAATACAACTATCTTCTGCTTGATCATCGTCTTCATCTTCTTCTAGTATTTCTATTTCATAATCGTCGACAAAATCTGCATCGAGTAAATTCGATTCCCAGTAATTTTCGAATTCTAACGTAATATCAGCATGAATATCACATGACGTTTCATTCATTGAAGAGTGTATAATATCCTATATCACATTGCGTAATTCAATTTCTTTATCGTTTACAGGTGTTTCCGGAATTTTTGAAATTTGAAAAAGGATAATTAACATTGAGAATATTTACAGGATTCATTTGTACCATTTTAAAGTACCAAAAAATTTTTGCACTGTTTGACTTTGACTTTGCACTTGAATTATTCGTTATTCTTGCTAATTATGCCTTATACTGAAATTATTGCAAGAACTTTGTGATTTATATAGTAATTTCAAGTGACTAATAATCAAGTGACTAATAATCAAGTGACTAATAATCAAGGACTAATAATAGATAAGATGTTTTTCAAGCACGTACATCATATGTGACATAAAAATGACGCTATTGTCGCTTGATTAATAATATTAATCAAGCACGTACACTCCCCGTCAATGATTTGCATGGTCGTGCAGTAGCCCTGACTTATCAGCTTGATTTACTCGCAGGATAACGATTTAGCCGTTACTTTTATCATTATTTTAATTTCGATTAAATAGGTCCAATAGACTAGATATTCTTAAAAAACATCTTGTGTATTATATCTTAGGCTGCATTTCGATAATCTCTGTCGTATATCGGAAATTTTAATTTTCCATATTAAAAGTAAATTTTGAAATATTGATTCTTAATAATGACATTAACGTTTAACAATTATATAAAATAATATCTAATCTGAATTCATATAAATGAGTTATTTAATGCATTATAAACTAAAAAAATAAAGATATTAGATAATATAAGGAATTAGAAAAATTATTAGATAAGTTTAATATAAAGAAAGAGAAAACTATTCTATATACAGACTAGAGAGTTTCAAGTTTTAATATTTATTTATTATTACATTTAATATTAATTATCAAATAATGTAATTTTTAACTGTGTGTAATAATTTTTTATTATTACAAGAAAGTGACAAGAAAGTAATAAATCGTTATTTTTTCAAGTAACGCGTTTTAAAATGAGTGACGAGCGATGGTAACGAGTTATTTTTCACAAGAAGTAACTGTAAGAGTAATGCGTTACTTTTTTAAGGTAGCGTTCCTAACTCTCAATATATATTTATTTTACCGATATAAATGATAATAGATTGAAAGAAATATGTATAATTAAACGGGAAAAAATAAACGTATCAATTATTAAAATTAAAAATAAATTATTCCTTTTATTAAAAATAAAATGGTGCATATATGAGTAATTGATCAAATACCTTCTTTGTGCAATTATTTACTGATATTATCTTAAATGCGACGCCTTAATAATTGCCTGCTATAGCTGCACGACATGCACGAGATAGAAAATAAAATGCAATCGGCGATTGTTTTTAATCTGTCTCGTCTCGTGTACTGTTAGAAATGTTCTTAAATTTCATTAACTTTTAATGTACGTTGGTGAATGAAGTTTAATTTCTCTGTAACTGAAAGGACTATTAATGCACATGTTAATGAGATTTAAGTTTACAGTAATTGAAAAATTAAGTGTAATGAAATTTAATATACTTTTCATTTACGGATATAAATGACATTTAATTAATCGTAATTGAAATAACTATTAATGTACATATTAATGAAATTTAATGTACTTTTACATTTACGAATATTAATATTTTAATTAAGCCTAATACTATTAACGTTTAATACGTTTACGTTTCTTACATGTCATTAACGTAAATTACTTTTCAGTTACAGATCTCGTACTTTTCATTAACGTGTAAATTAATTTCTACAATAATGTGTTCATTAATTTCAATACACACGTTCATCACATTTAAGACTACTGTAATTTAGTTTTTATTTACATCATTCATTACATTTAATTTCGTGCATAACTACATGCTTCCTTTATATGTTAATTAAAATTCATTGAGAAATTTCTAACAGTGTGCAACCATGACAGGCAATCTAAATATTGTTCATCGTGGACGCATTATCGGGATGTGGGAAAGTGGAATAGGTGTGCGAGATATTGCACGTCAAATTCCTTGTAGCAAACCGAATGTTCGTAAGTGGATCAAGCGATGGCTGGAAGAGGGAACACAATCGTAGGCAGCGATTGACAACCGCCGAAGATAATAGACTCCTTGTCAATCAGGTAGATTTGAATTCTTTTCTTCCGGTGTCGCATGCTGTAAATCAATTAGATTTGCAGATATCTGATAGGATAGCACAAAGGCGTTTACACGAAGCGAGTGTGCATTGTTATAGTGTTGCACATAAAATTGCTCTAACGAGTAAACATCGCGATAATCATGTCGCTTTCGCGCTGCATCAGATAAACACAGCTTCATCAGAAGATTGGAATCGAACTATCTGGACGGACGAAAAAGTATTTTGTTCGGCGTATGATCGACGCCTACACGTGTGGAGGCCCGAAAACCATCGCTTCGATCCTAAATACGTAGTTCAACACGAGCGAAGTGGGCGCATCACTTGCGCTATGTGGAGATAGATAAGTGCACATTGTCCTGAAGAACTAATCGAAGTATCGTCGCATATGAATGCCTTCGAATACACGGAGAGAATTTTTTCTTAGAATTTACCCTGAAAATATGACAATCGTGGGACAACATTGTATTTCGAAGAATTTTGATATAAATCTCTCTCATTCATTAATAAAACTACAATAAAGTATAAAATAAGTTTGATCAATTTTACTGAAGTGCATGGTAAAAATCTTTAAAACATTGTATTGTACCACAATCACCATATTTTCAGGGTAAATTTAAAAATAAAATTCTCTCCGTGTATGTAAATATTCTGGAGAACGTATTGCTTCCCAGCGTTCGACAAATATATACCGAAGAAGATATGCCGACATTTCGATTCGTCATGATAATAGTGCTGTCCATACCTCCCACATAGTAAAAGAATGGTTCGCACAACACCCAGAGATTAAAGTTCTTGATTGGCCACCCAAATCCCCTGATCTCAATTTAATTGAAAATGTTTGGGGAGTAATTGCGAATTCGTGGGATTGTGGTCATGAGAAAACTAAAAAAAATTTTGTTGCGCACGCGAAGAACATATGGGAAGGCTTAAGGCATAAGCCTCAATATTTTGAAAAATTGAACGGTTCGATTAAATCGACAAAATCGATTAGCCCATGTAGTTGCACGAGAAGGATACTGGACCGATTACTGAATTGGTCTCAGTATTTAAACAGTACTTAACGAAGAAATACTCATATGCATCGTTCTATTTTCAATAAAAAGAATAAATTATTTTTAATTTTAATAAATGATCTATTTATTTTTTTTTAATCTACTTATTTATATTTCTTTCCATCTATTGCCGTTTATATTTATAAAATACAATATGGTACGATTCGTTACACTTTCTACTTATTCATATTTCTTTCCATCTATTGCCGTTTATATTTATAAAATACAATATGGTACGATTCGTTACTTTTTTGCCACTTTTTTGTAATAATAAAAAATTATTACAGTTAAAAATTACATTATTTATTAATTAATATTAAATGTAATAATAAATAGATATTAAAACTTGAAATTCTCTAAACTAGTCTGTATATAGAACAAGTTTTTCTTTATATTAAACTTATTTAACAATTTTTCTAATACCTTATATTATCTAATATCTTTATTTTTTACTACTCATTTATATGAGTTCAGATTAAATATTAGTTTATATAATTGTTAAACGTCAATGTCATTATTAAGAGTCAATATTTCAAAACTTACTTTTAATATTGAAAATTTCCGATATGACAGAGATTATCGAAACCCACACAGCAATGGAGATCTATGGGATATACTAAAATCATCGCGAATATACGAAATATATCTCAATATCTTTAAAATGCCATCAGTATATTATAATGACTATATCATGAATACACTTCCTGTATAAGATATTCAGGAGATATCTTACCCCGAACAAAGTAAATGTGTACGATATATCTCAGAGACATTCTGAAGACATCTAACAGATAAAATATCTTCCAGTCGTTTCTAAGATGTCTCTTTATATATAATATAAAACTTATAGAATAGTGCGTAATTATAATATACGTACATATATAAGGGCATAATTAAGTAAATTATCTCTTTGGGTGGTATTCATCTTAGAACATATACTACTGGAAGGAGCATAGGCTTGAAAAGTTGAAGCCGAGAAGATTAACCAGGATGGAGGTAGAATGCAAAGAAAATTGACAAGGATGGAGATAGAATGCGTGATCCTAAATTGTAATGCGCATGCTTGTCGCTTTTTCTCTTCACCTCGCAGACTCCGTGCGAATGGTCTGAGCACATCCACGACACATTGCTGACTAGGCACATTCTATCTCTTTGTCAATCTTCTCGGCTTCAGCCGAAAGAATGGGATTATGGGTCTGTGCTCCTTCCAGTAGTATATGTTCTAAGGTATTCATAATTAGGTTTCATAATTTAAAGGTGTGTTTACACGTACATTTCTGAACAGCCAAATAAAGCTGGTTCTACTATGGACGTCTTTTTGAGATTTTTAAGGTTAGAATATTTTAGAAACCTGACGTAATGGTGTAATTTGGGCTATGGATTTGGTTTTAGCATGCCAGAAACCTTCGGGATTACATACTACCGTAATATGTCTGTATAATCGGTGTAAATTAAACTATCATTATAATTATAAAAAACATTCTCCCAAATATATCCCGACTAGATACTATAATTATCTCTAATATATCTTTATAATATACCTACGATAACATTTCAGATTTTACTATAAGCAACAATAATCATTGATATCTCAGGAATAACGTAAGAATATATTTCGCTTAAACTTGAGATATCCTAGTCCTTCTTTGGTGCGGACATTAGTATATCCTATTGATATCCTATTGATATATCCAGATGTCTATTGAATATCTTTGAGATTTCTTTTGCTGTGTGGGAATGTAGCCTAAGATGTAAAACACAAAATGGTTTTTAAAAAGATCTAATCTAGTGGATCTATTTAATCGAAATTAAAGTAATGGTAAAAGTAACGGGTAAATCGTTACCATGCGAGTAAATCAAGCCGATAAGTCAGGGCTACTGCACGACCCTGTGAATCATTGACGGGGAGTGTACATCATGTGATATAAAAATGACGCTACTGTCGCTTGAATATTTTTGTATGCAGTATTTTTTTGAAAAATATCATAATTGCGAACATTTTGTCATATAATAATGTTAGTATTAATAACGAGATTAAGGGGATGCTGGAGTGACAGTCAAACTTAATCAAGATCGATAGTACAGACTTTTTTAAATTCCAAATTCGACGACATCTTTCATTCATTTCTTATATTTATTATATATCGTTGTGTCTCGCTCAAACGCATTCATCTGTCCTTATTTAACATATTGCAATGCCATCTCTTAGAAAGAGATCAACTAAAATACTGTTCGGTTTCATGGCTTCACATCAATTTTATTCGTAGTATACGAACGAAATTTTCGGCGACTCTTTTCTCTTATACCAAAGCCCTTACCTCATTTCTAAAAGCATAGGATTGTTCTTCGATGTTTTCTGTAGACTGCTGGCTACTTATTTCAAACAGGTAAAATCTGAAACTTTTATATGCAGCAAATATTGTGACGAGTTGACTGCAGGAGCCGGTGACAAAACTACAATTTTTAATTTTCTTTTATTTTTCGTATTAAATTGTAGCTGGCAGCCTGTGTTGTTATCGATACTTTAATTGTGGAGAAGGACTTTTCAATCCATAAACACAGAGAAAAGAGTCTTTAAAAATTAATGGTAAAACAAGACACTCCAGCATCCCCTTAACAAGTAGTTTTACAAATTATAATAAATACATTCATTGCTCTTTATAACAAAAAATGTGCTTATACATTACAGGAAATATATGGTACCGTAACTCATCACTGTTAGATGTCAAAGGAGCAATGGCAACCCCGCGCGAGTTTCTTGAGTTAAATAATATTTTATTATCTTTTTACTTCCATGTGTATCAAAATGCTAATCAGTCTATTTCTGTACTTATTTCAACATAAGTACAACAATTTCAGTCATGGTTTACAAATATATTTGTACCCGCAACTGGAAGTTTTAGTGTGCTGTTATTAGAATCTTAGAGCGGACATTGTTCTGCAAGTCTGCAAGAATTTATGCCAAAAAAAGATAAAGATGTACGAATTTTAACTATACCAAAGAAAACAACGGGAATGATTCAACCTGTTGACGTTTATGGATTTAGACTATGGAAAATCTCCTCCGCGATTATTTCATAATTTTTTTAATATGCTTTTTAAATATGCTTGGTATAAGAGTGAATACATTGAAGAACGGCCGCCACAATTCGAATCTCTAGGAGATTTTTGTTTCAACGGAAAGAATATTCAAGAAATACCTCGCTGCTCCATATGTGGTGAACCTGTTGTAATACGATGTTCCTGGTGCAAACAATATTTTTGTATGCAACATTTTTTTTAAGAATATCATAATTGCGAACATTTTGTCATATAATAATCATGTTAGTATTAATAACGAGATTAACAAGTAGTTTCAAAATTTATAATAAATACATTCATTTTGGTCTTTATAACAAAAAATGTGCTTATATATTACAGGAAATATATGGTACCGTAACTCATCACTGTTAGATGTCAAAGGAGCAATGGTAACCCCGAGTTTCTTGAGTTAAATAACATTTATTATTTTTTTACTTCATGTGTATCAAAATGTTAATCAGTCTATTTCTGTACTTATTTCAACATAAGTAACGTTCACATTAACGTATGTAAGTAAATAAATTATAGAGTCAAATTAAAACATCTTCTTGAGTTAAATGATTTAACTGCATCATTAAATTAATGACGTATTGAGAAAAATGTGGAGAAGGATGTTGTAATTTTACAATATTTTAATAAGCATTTTTTAAATATTACTCGCGCGAATATATTTTTATGTAATAATAATAATATATCTTTTTATAATGATAATAAATCTTTAAAGAAAAAATGTATAAATTTTTAAATGTTCCAAAGTAGTCAACGGAGGAATGATGGCATTTGGAATAATTCATGCATAAAAAAATTAGAGTCGAATAGGCCTACTGGGGAAACCATTATAAAAAAAGCGCATCATACTATCTAGCTTATGATAGGTGGTGTGGAAATAATAACATTTTATCATTTTCTTGGGATAGACATTTACTTACAAGTAGCTTTATAATAAAATTACCTGTATCTATCATAAATATTTTTAAAAATAATAATTTTTTGAAAGTTCTGAAAATTGCTGCCAACATAGAGTTTGAAAGATGAAATCAGGTCTCATGTGTGAAGTAATTTTCAGCTTTCTCCGCTATATCTCGAAAACTATTCGAAATATAAAAAAATATTTTATACAAAAGTTGTACAATAAAATTACCTCTATTTACTCACATCAATAATATTTTTTTAGAATAATTATTTAACAATTTTTTTTCGAAAATTTTGACAAAAAATTGGTAAATAATTGTTCTAAAAACTCGAGTAAATACAGCTGACTTTGTTGTAAAACTTTTGTATAAAACAATTTTTTATATCTCAAACATTTTTCAAGATATAACGGAAAAAGCAGAAAACCGCTATATGTTAAAGGTGATTTCACCCCGTTTTTTAGCCGCAACTGATATTTTCTAAATTCATCTCTTTATGTAAGCTACAAGTTCACAAAGTTTCATTAAAATCAGAATTTATCACCTCGAGAGGTTCTCTTGTCAGGGGAAGGGGATAGAAGGTGACTTTATTTATAGAAAAACAATTAAGATATAGTATAAAACTTGCTTACTCTAAAGCAAGTTGATGTTTCTTTAAACATGTTATATATTCCCGGTATATTATTCCTTCATTGAATGGATTAAGTTCCATATTTACACGATATCCACATTTGCTGATTTTATTGTTATTATAAGCTTTGGAAATTATATTTTCAATTTGCTTACTGTAAAAATGATATCTCACAAAAGCACAAAATGATGTCTCAAAATAAAATATATGTATAATGTGTGTACGAAAAATGAAACATATATGTCATAAAATATATGAACGGAGTATACGAAACTAGGGTTATACAATAATTATAACAATATTATTTACCATATTTAATTGATCTACCTGACAGCAGCAAATAAACTGCATGCATGAGCGGTGCAGGCCATGTGCATTGTATCAACACCAATTGAAATGTTTAAACCTATTATAACTACAATGGTAGTGTAACAAAACATTATTAAAAAATAATCATCTTTATTCACTCTGAATTCGACTTCGATCGCAAAAATTCGCGGACGTGATTCATTAAGAGGTAGCACTGTGTCTAACAATACTGGTATTAATGGTATTGTTACAAATATTAACATTGTGAAAAACAATAGCACTGCAACATTTCGAAAGAATTATGTATCTTTGTTCACAATAATATTAATTAGAAGTATTTTAGAGCAACATCATTATTCTTTTTAAAAAATTTGTTATTATATAATAAAAATATTATTTAACGCCGTTTTTTTCATAACTTAACTTCATAACGTAATTGTCATATCACTATACTTATGTCTCGTAATTGTCATATCACTATACTTATGTCTCGATTTATTTTAGATCATAAAAATTTTAGTTTATTTTATTTATACGACATAATTACTCTCTACATAACGTACTTACTCGAGAAAACTATTGTGAACCTTCGTGACAACGTAGCATAATCTTTCATTATTCGAACTTCCACATCACTTGTAAATATGTCCCAGTGTTTATCAATGGCTATACACAACTGTTGCAACTGTTTATAATAAATGGACATGATTTTTACAAACATATTATATATAAAATAATTTTCTAACAAAAGATTAACGAAAAGGAATAATGACAACATAAATAAAATAAAAAAAGATAATTAAATATCTGTGAATTTACTCTGTTCTGATTCCAAATATTATGCAATACCCTTGCAATAAAAGCAGTCGTAAAAATAAATTGATAGCAGGCGTCGAAAACCATTTGTGGATCACCCCAATGATCATACAGCAGTAGTATCTGCATATGTTTAATTATGATTCGTAAATGCATTACAACTGTATAGTTGTAAAATCAATTGTATAAAATCGTTTTATTTATTTAATTAACCATTAATTGTTAATCATTTACAGTATGCTACTACACTGTTAAAAAAGACATAAAATTTAATGTACTTTTAAGTTACAAAAATTAAATTAAATTTTATGATTACATTAAATTTT